CGCTGAAACATACATAAAATACGCGTGCTTTGCATGATGCCCACCACAGCCACGAAATCTCAATTTTCTATGTAACTGTGAGGTGTACATTCCGCTCCTTTTCCATGTGTCATGGACGATCAGGGACATCACACTCCATTGTGCGAAATTCTTACATGCATTGGACAGGTCGTGTATGAGTCACGAGAAGACGGACTATTAGTGGTTCATTATTGGCCTCTTTAACTCGCAATATCAAGGGGTTAAGAGGCCCAAGCAATGATTTGGTGCATTGAAAATGTGGGAGGGATCGAAGTCGAACTTCGGTGCATTTCCCACAGTATTAGCCAATTGATATGACTAAAATTACCACGGTGCTCTAAAAACCGTGATTTGGAAGGTTGCTAACTGATAAGGTCATTCGGAATTCACAATCATTCCAGTGTGGGTTTGTGGCTGAAAACCAGGCTGCAACGGTCCTTTCTCTATCTAGCGTTTTTGGGACACATACTCAACGGAATCTGAGCCCACTCTTTTTTGATGTTTGCAAGTAAAGGGCTAACTTCACAAGCGTTAGTCTCTTGGTTAGCAGGGGACTTGTCCCAGAAATACAGCTTCACCTAACTTTGCGGGTAATTAGTATAATAATGAAAACTTTAAACGCGTCAAAAATGCAGGTACACTTTCAAAAATTTTGTGAACGGAGATGTTAGACGTTAGTCCCCCTACACCATTTTTAATTGGCGTAAGTGGTGGAGCAGCCTCCGGAAAGGTATGAGTCGCAATTTTCTTAGTGGAAAAGTCTGAAGTATGCAAAAGGGTTTTAGACAGTTTACTAACGAAAGCGAATGGCAAACAGGCAATCGTGCTCTCCTTGTCAACTTTTTATCGCCAACTGTCCGAAGAGGATCGGAATCTAGCAGAGAAAGGCAAATTTAACCTAGACCATCCTCGTTAGTCTTTTTAAATATTTGACTTCTTTAGAGGCCTTTGACTTTGAGTTGCTTGCTGAGACATTAAAGAAAATACGCCGTCACGAACCAGTGGTTTTGAACACATATGATCCCAACGCGTTTTCGAAGTTTGTAATTTCGCTTTCTTTAAATTTCCTTAGTACCCCAAACGTTCTTAAAATACCAGCTGAGATCGATATAGTGATTGTTGAGGGTATTCTA